GTACCCTGATCATTTATGGCTTCTTTTAGGCCCCAGCCTATGCGTCTGAAATTTTTAAAATTTGAAGCCAAACTGCCAACAGGGCTGAGGTGTTCACGGGGTAGGTGATCGAGTTCCCATTTCTATTCGTTTCTATCCTTAAGAGTCATTTTGTCACAGTCCCAGCTTCGTCCATAAAGGGCTGGAGTCAAGTTTCCTGCCCACCAGACAGGCTGGACACGGGTCCTCGGTGTGTCTGACACCAGGGCCCCCACCTGTCCACAGCAGCCCGGGAGGAAGGAGGAAGGGACAAGAAGAGCTGGTCCAGGAGGGCCAGAATGGAGCTTCGGGAATTTGGCCCTTCCTCCTTCTTTCCCTGCAGTTGCCTGTGCACTCACTCATCACTAGTGTCCCGGCCAGCCTCCCTCCGCACCCAGAAAACACACACCCAATTTCAAGAGTGCGCTGTGCTGGCCCCTGGTGGCCAAGTCAGGACACGCACCCTTGGTTCCCATCAGCGCCTCCAGAACCCACCTCTCCTACTCCACTGGGGGTTTCCCACCACTGACCTCACCACCTTGTTGCACAGAGCAGCTCAGTTTCCTCCAGGGAGCAGAAACATCGTGGAATAAATGTCCCTATTTCCTGCAACCCCTTCTCGTGGAAGCATGGGAGCTGACCAGCTCTGGTAACAGGCTCAGAGAGAAGGGCTTTCCGGAGGTCCCTCAGCAAGCTGGTGGCAGATCCACTCTCCAGACTCTGTTCCCAGTCCTCCCCTCCCCCCCCACTGCCAGGCTGCCTTCTGGCTCTTCCCTGCAGGCTCTGGGAGCTGAGTTCAGAGCCCACGTCTCCTCACTGGGTGGCCCAGGGTTGGTCAACTAACTAACCTCTCTGACCCTGGCTTCCTGGGCAGGTTGTGGGGGAAACCAAATATATGTAAGCTACAACTCTACAGCTATGCAGATACGTGTCTGTTATTAACTATAACCGATAACTATTTTTTTAATTGCCAGTTAAAGCTACCTCAGCCTCTTTCCACCTAAAATAGTCTTCTTTGGTCTCTGACTCAGGCTCTTTCTAGAAGCATTTTACTCCTAAGTCCCCACGTGCTGGAGGGGCTGCTATCCCCACTTGCTCTTCATAGGATCTCCCTCATTTCCATCCCTGGCGAGAGGACATCTGGATCCTGGAGCTGACTTCTGCTTGGGGCACACGCCGTGGCTTGTGTCTCCTGGCTTGAGGCTGTGAGGCTCACTCCATCTGTTTGCACTGCTGAGCCACTGCTTCATGGGTAACAAGGGTCTGCTCGGCCCAGCCAGGTTGGGTGGTCCCCTTGCAACTCTCGTCCCAGGGCCAGTTTGCCCCTCCTTGGTGGCCACTAATGAGTTCCCGGAGGGTCCTCCTGCATCTTGTGCATCCCCCACAGCAAGTATGCAGGGACTGTGAATTCATCCCTTTCCGTGATACAGCGAGAGCCAGGATCTTGGGGACCATCTGAGTCCCACCTGCTCAGCAGCTCCCCTGCTTGGGAAACTGGCCTCCTCAACCAGCTGGGGTTGCTGCCAGAATTTCTAGCATCTCTCTCACACCCCTGACACACACACTTTGGAGAGGATGGGTCCCCCACACCAGGAATCTGCTCATTCTCGCTCTAGCTGAGGTCTCTCATCACAGGACCGACAGGCCACTTTCTCCCTAGTGGGGACTTACCCAGGCCATGTCCTCCTTCTTGCTCACCCCATGGGCTTCCTGTTCTAGACAACATGTGCCTGCCAGGACACTGGCAAATCGCGGGGACAGGAGGTTTTATACCGAGTGTCATGCATGCCGTCTTACATTCGTCCCTCTGCCCGGCCTGCAGGAGATCCGTGGGCTTCCCTCTCCTCCTCCTCCTCTTCCACCTCCTCCTCCTCCCCCCTCCCCATACCCCTCTCCTCAGGCCTGTCACTGAGGGCCAACTCCACCAACTCCTCTGGCTTTTAGCAATTGCAGTTTTGACCTGACTGTTATCTGCCCTCCGGCCCACTGCAGGCTGAGCACCTGAATACTCACCTTCAGATGGAGGCCCATCCCTTGAGCACTGACTCGGCTTTAACCATGGACACCTCGGCCCTTAGGGAATTCTGGATTGCATGACAGTGTTGTGTAGGGGTCAGAAGCCCCAACATGTAGCTGCCTGGGCTAAAATCCTGGTGGCACCACTGACCTGGCACCCCCTCGGTCGGGACACCTGGCTCTGCTGAGACCACAGCCCCATCAGGTAAATGGGAGTGACCGCAAGAGGCTGGTTATGAAGCCAGAGAGTGTGCTCCTCAGCATCTGGAACATGGAGGTGCTAAGGAGATGACCTATTGAGGTTATGATGTCGGAATGGGTCCCAGTGGGGAAACCATAACCCAGACAAGTGGAGAAACTATACCAAGTCTTCCTGCCTCAGACCCCTGACTAAGCTGGAGGCCTGGCTCCTTCCAGGGGCTCTGGTCTTGTTTCCAACATAGTCAAAGGGGTAAACCTCCCCTCCTAACAGGAGCTGAGGCATGTGGAGGCCGGCCAGTGACGAAAGCAAGGGACTCACGCTGATGGGCCACCGCACCTCAGGGTAGGACAAGTCTGGCTTTGCTACCAGGAGGTGGACTCCCTTTCCCGCAGTTTATTAAATGGTGCTGAGGCCAAACATATGCTTTTTGGGGTTTGAAGAAAGTCACCTTCATTTCATTTGTGTGTATCCTGTTGAAAGGAAGGAGGGAGGGGGGGGAGGGAGGAAAATCATAAAGCTGTGAAGTCCTGGCCTCTGTCACCAGCTGCTGCAGGTGTCCTTCCCTCCCAGCACAACGAGGCAGTGAGGGGCCCTGGCAGAGTACAGGACAGCGACACCTCCATGCTGGTTCCCTGCCCAGGCTGCACCTCTGACCCCCCCACCCCCACCGCCATCTGTTGTCCAGGCTCCAGCTCTGCTGCCGCTTCCCTCCTACGCTCCTCAGCAATCCCTTCCAGCCCCAGGCCTTCTGCACAGCCTTCCCTCAGCCGGGAGGGCTCTACCCTCTTCTGCGCAGACGTCAGCCAATGCCGCCTGCTGGAACGGGCCTGTCCAGGCCCCGAGGCTGCCCGGGGCCCCACCGCTTGGCTCGCCGTGATCACAGTGAGTTCTGGGTCTGCTGGGGCCACATTCGGGAGCGCTGACTGAAACATCTTCGCCACTGCAATTCTCTTCTTCTCCTTTCAGCGAAGTAGGCAGCTGAGGCGGCTGCCACCTCAGGGCGAGGGGTCCTAGCCGAGCAAAGAACAAATTCAGCAATCCACCTTAGCTCTGCAGTTTGCACACTCAACGGTGGCAATCAGTTCCGAAGCAGAGGCTCCGGAAGAGCCAGCCAGCTGAAGACGGCCAGGGAGGGCTGGCAAGGACGAGGGACGGAGTGGCCGAGAGGGGCTCTGTGCCCTGCCCCCTCCCCACCCGGCTGCTGCCCGTGGCCCTGGCGCTCCCTGCAGGTCACCAGGGCCAGGAGCTGGGAGGAAATGGAGGCAGGAGGCAGGCAGGCAGGCTCACCGCCCCCCAGCGAACACAGTCTGTGGCCGAGGGGCCCCGTCCACCAGACGTGGGGGACCAGGCCATCGCAGCAGTGCGGGCACCTACTGGTCCCGTGACACCAGCATGAGGACGAGGGAGGGGATTCCCTGCACCACTGCCATCACACTGCGGAGAAAGGAGGCCCTGCATCGGCACACCCCACCTCCCCTCTCCACCTCCCCACCCCCCTCCCACCCCATGCTGGGACACTCCCTGGGAAGGAACCAGATGTGGCTGAGGAGACCCTGATGGCACTCAGTCTCTGTCATGAGCAGAATGAGGCCCCAAGATAGAAATGATCCAAGTGGCTTGTGTTTGGAGGGTGCCAGGCCGGGGGGGTCTGGTTCACGGCTGTGGCCTTGGTCTAGCACCAGCCCCTGGAGCAGCAGCTACTCGGTCTATGGGCGCTCCTCCTGGTCAGAAGGTCAAGTCCGGGGAGGGTGCCAGTCCCAAGCTACGGGGTCCCGGGGGATCTACGCATGGTGACTATGCAGGGGACGCTTTGGGGAGAGGGCATGAGGGCCCAGCGGGTGCGGCTTGGGGGTGGGGGGCCCAAGAAATGGGCCCAGGGAGAAAGCATGTCATGCAGGTGACACAGTCTCCTGGCCCTTAGACAGACAGTGACCGTGTCCTCCAGTGGGCAGCCACAGAGGGTCTCTGGGGAGCAGCCAGGGGGTCGGCCTGCCAGGGTCAGGTGGCCTCTGCATCAGGAGATGGACAACCCCAAATACACTCCTTGTCAGGACAGACCTACAGAGCCCCGCCCCACCCCCAGGGGGACGCAGCCCCTGAGGAGGGGACAGCGCAGTGGGAAACTGCCTTTGACGCAGCAGAGAGTCCTTCCTGCCTCATCTGCACGTCCAAGCTGGTGAGGCCCCAAGAGCCAGAAAGCCCAGAAGCTCAGGCTGGCTGAGCTTCAGGAACTTTCCATCACCTTGTCTCCTACGTGGCCCTTCCCCCTGGGGCAGCCCAGGTGTGCCTGTCGCAGGGGGCATGGAGGAGGCCCCCAGGGATGGGACAACAGGGGTTCTCTGCGAGGACAGTGATGGGGAGCAGCAAGTGGAGGGGGAAAGGGAAGGCCTTCAAGAAAGCCGGGACGTGATGGCTGGTTCGCGGAGACTGACATTGCCCCTGCCCCCCCGACATGGCTGCTGGGATCTCCTTAGGAATGTAGCATTGGGGAGGAGCAGAGAGTGGGGGACCCTGCTCTGAACTGGAGACCTGGGGGCACGAGGAGGGGGACCAGTCAGCGCGGTGGAGGGCCTGCTCAGTGGACCACTATGGCCGCCAGCTCCTCCATCTGCCTAGCCCTCCTTGGTCCCGCGCAGCACCCGCAGCACCCTCGGCGACAGGCAGTGGGGCTGGGGGCAACCCCAAGACGTGCAGCTGGGTGCCCGGGAGCCAGATGCCGGCAGACCTCAGGGCAAGGGCTAGAGGTGGCCACCTCCTCCAGAGATACGTGAACAGCATTTATTTTCCAGGCCTTCAACAGACGTTCCAGCTGCTGACTCTGCCGGCCCCGAGCGGCCCCGGGGCCGGAGGTACAGGACACCTCTGAGCTGGTCAAAGGCAGGATGGCGTGCGGTGCCTGGAGACCGGTGTGCCCTGGAATCTGGGGTGTTTGCTGAATCCACGGTGGGTCCCGAGGGGAGCAGGGACCAGGCAGGCAGGCAGGGAAGGGGCTGCAGCTCAGAATGAGGGCTCGGGGCCCTCTTGCTCCGGAAGCACCTCACTGCTGGCACCCTGGCCGACGCCGCAGACCCGGGCGAGGGGACTTCCCTGAGGGTGGGGGAGGCCTGCTGGACCCTCGGCTCCTTCCGGTCTGGAGCCCTGAGGCCAGCCGGCAACCCCTGGGTGCGCGTGTCTTGTCCAGGGCCCCTGGGCCAGCCCTGCCCCGAGATCAGTTTAAGGCCTGGCAGGGCTGGGGGAAGGGTGGGAGACATGCAGTGGGCCTGGGATGTCCCAGAGGGAGCCCCCGGGCCGGAGCACGAGCCCCCCAGGCGCTGAGCCAGGGGCCCTGAGGTCGGGGCCCCATGGAGAAGCCCAGAGCACAGTCCAGCTCAGCGGGGCCGCTTGCTGTCCAGGACGGCCTTCCAGTCGTCGGCCCACGAGTGCAGCCTGCGGCTGGGGGGCTGCAGCCGCACGTGCCGGTTGTGGCAGGCCGTGAAGAGAACGTGCTCCCAGCTGGGGTGCGGCTCGGCCCCTGTGGGTGGGAAAGCAGCACTTGAGGCCAGTGCCAGGAGGCCCGGAGCGACCTCGGCGACAGCGGGCCTGAGACCCGGCTTCCCGTCGGCCAAGTGCTGACCGCGCCAGCACCCGGCTCACGGGGTAGGTTAAATGAGATGGACCACGTGCCGCAGCACCCGGGATGGCCCCCAGGGGACACAGAGCCAACAGTGGCTTCCGTGGTCGTTGTCACCAAGGCCACTGTCAGAGCCAAGCCCTGCTGACGCCCTGCCCTTCCCCTCTGGCGCTTGGCCTTCCCTGGCTGGCCGGCGTCGGCCCCGCAGCTTACCACCCGGTGACCGTGGGTAACCTTCAATCCCTCAAGTCCACCTGTCCTCGCCGGCTCTCTGGTGCTGATCCTCCCCTCAGGTTGCGGCCTGACTCCCTGGCCCCTTCTGCGCAGGCCTCCCCCCTGCTCCCCGTGGTTGGAGACAGAAGCTGCCCCCCCCACCCCGCATGCACCCTGACTCTCCTTGTGGAAGCACTTGGCTTGGGAGGTCAGGGGTGGGCACACGCAAGAATCCCACCCTCTGGACACACTGACCAGTGTGGAGATGGGTGTGGTTCCCGAGCTCCAAAAGCCATTAAGGAAGCGACATTCTGTATTCTCCCGCCAAGGTGTCCGAAAGAATAGAATTTAACCCTGAAAGCCCTGCTGGCTTCCAAGACAGGCTGCCCGAGTACAGAGGCCAGGCAGGGCGGTCAGGAGATAAGGCAACTGTATCCTGGGGGCTGGTGTCTGAGTTCCTAGACTTAGCGCAGCCGAAGCCTTCCTGGCCCGGCGAGGGGCGCTGGTGTCCCTTCTCCTCCCCGGGGCAGCGTACGGTCTGTTCGCCTGCTTGTTGGGAGAGAGTCCCCCATAAGCAAAAGGACCAAATACAGTTCCCAAAGCACCTTCAACTGGACACATTATGCTTTTCTGTTTTCCAAGTAGGTTCAGTCCATACTGCTCTTGGGGGGAAAAATGGCCTTGCTGCTAAAAACAAATGTTTGGAGGCCAGCGTGGTCCTCATCTTACATGAGGAAGGCAAGGCTTCAAGGTATAAAGGGGCTCATGGGACAAGCTACCCCAGGAGCCAGGACCTGCTTCTCCAGACTCCCGGAGGCGAGGCCCCTTCCAAGAAGGCCACATGCTGCTGGATGCTGAGAATAACCTTGCCTTCCGGGCAGGGGCGCATCGAGGCTGAAGGCCTAATACAGCCTTGGTGATTAGGTGGGGACCCCTCAGGACAGGGGCTGTGAGGCCAGCTCTGCAGGCCCTCGGCCCCAGCAGCTCTCAGCTCTCAGCACTGGCTCCTCACCTGCGGCAGGCCACTTGCCTGTGATGTCTGGCCGGTCGTCTATGAGGAGGTCGGCGGAGACCACGGTCTTGTCTGTGGCCAGCACGATCTGATCCAGGAAGTCGGGGCCAAAGTGCTTCTCCACCCAGGCGTACTGGAACACAGACAGGGAGAGGAGAGGGCAGGCCGTTAGGCCTGGGCACAGACACGGGGGGGGCACAGCCAGGCTTTCTCCGGGAGGAAGGGCCGCCGTCCGGGAGATGTGATGATCCCAGTGGCAGCAGAGGAAACGTGTCAGGGAGATGGTGGGACTTGTCCATGCCCCCTTAGCTAGAAAGCAGCAGAACCCTGGCTCAAACCCAGACTGCCCACACCCCAGCTCCAAGCCCACATGCGCTTGGCCTACAACCCAACACTCATGCTATGAAGGCCTCCTGCATCTTTGTTTTTTAATGTTTATTTATTTTTGAGAGGGGGGTAGAGAGAGAGTGGGACAGAGGATTCAAAGTGGGCTTTGTGCAGGGCTCGAACTCATTCATGAACCATGAGATCATGACCTGAGCCGAAGTCAGACATTCAACTGACTGAGGCGGCCAGGTAGCCTGTCATCACCTATTATCTTTTTTAAAAAAATTTTTTTTAATGGTTCTTTCTTTCCTTCAAAAAAAATTTTTTAATGTTTTTTATTTATTTTTGAGAGAGAGAGACAGTGTGAGCAGGGGAGGGTCAGAGAGAGGGAGATACAGAATCCGAAGCAGGCTCCAGGCTCTGAGCTGGCTGTCAGCACAGCCCCATTGCGGGGCTCAAACCCACGAACCGTGAGATCATGACCTGAGCCGAAGTCAGACGTTTAACTGACTGAGCCACCCAGACGCCCCTGTTTATTTCTGAAAGAGAGAGACAGAGACAGAATCTGAGTGAGGGAGAGGCAGCAAGTTGCCCAGACCATCCATGGGAAAGCGGAGGTAGTGGCAGTATTACCTCATGGGACTCCTTTGGGGATTCAATGGGAAAATGCACATAAAAGTCTTAGCACGGTGCCTGGCACATGGAAAGTGCTCGTACCAGGCAGCTGCACAAGGGTCCCCGCTTCTGGCCTCATCTCTCATCTCCTGTGGCTCTCATGTGTCCCAGCCGCAGGACGTAGACAAACCATTTCACCTTCTAAGACCAGTGTCTTCGCAATGTTGTTGATATGATTACATTAAATCTATGCAGGACACAGAGTAATGCCTGACACACACTAAGTAGTTATTAAATGTTATTTTAGTTAAAATTTGGTAGCCCTAAATTTTATGTAAAAAAGCTACCAGAATGAAGAGGTTTAGCAAAATGGCAGGATACAAGGTCAACATGCAAAAATCATTTGTATTTCTATCCATTTGGATATTGAAATGCAAGAAACAATACCTTTACAATAACACCAAAAATAAACATGAAGTAGGTTGACTCTACACTTCTAAATAGTTCAGATGGTAAAATTTATGGCATGTGCACTTTACCACAATCTTCAAAAATTAAAAAAAAAATACTTTAAAAATAAGGACAGGCTTTATGCAAAAAAAAAAAAAAAGCAAAACACAAAATAGGAATAAATTTAACAAAATGTGTGCAAGCCCCATATGGTGATGAAATACAAAATATTCCTGAGGGAAATTTCGAAGAGCTAAAGAAATTGTCATTTTGTATGAATGACACGTAGGAACGTTCCTTGCTCAGTAAATTCAGTAGATTCAGTGTCGTTAGCCTCCACTGATAAGATGCAATTCAGTGAAATTCCCACCAGGCTAAATGAAGAATAAAGTTGGAGAACTCACACTGTTTTCAAGAGTTACTCTAAAACTACAGTAGCCAAGAATGGTGTTCGCATGAGGATACACATTTAGATGAGAGACAGAATATATTTAAGAACAGATGGAAAGGTACCAAGGTAATCCAACAGAGGAAGGATGGGCTTTCTGACAGAAGAACAGCTGAGACTTTCACAGGCGAAAAAAGGAAAAAACAGAACAAAAAAACCCAACACACAAAAACTTCTATTTTTAACTCCTACCATATGTAAAAAGTAGCTTGACATGGACCATAACCTACATATAAAACCTAAAATTATAAACACTGCTCTTCCAAAGCTACGGCTAAGAAAAGGAAAAGAAGCCACAGACCAGGAGAAAATATTTGTGAAACCCATTATCTGATAAAGGACTTGTATCTAGAAGATACAGAGAACTTCCACGACTCAAATGAAGACAAAGAGCCTAAAGAAAAATCAGTCAAAAAATGTAAACATTTTATCAAAGAAGGTATATAGAGGTCAAATAAGCACAGAAGAGGTGCTCAACATCGTTAGTCATTAGGGAAACACAGATCAAAACCGCAGAGAGGTATCGCCAGGAACCTACTAAAACAACTGGAATTTAAAAAGATTGAGGGGCGCCTGGGTGGCTCAGTCGGTTAAGTGTCTGACTCTTGATTTCAGGTCAGGTCATGATCTCTTCTTGGTTTGTGGGTTCGAGACTCACATTGGGCTCTGTGCTGACAGCTAGCTCAGAGCCTGGAGCCTGCTTCCAATTCGGTGTCTCCCTCTCTCTCTGCCCCTCCCCTGTTCACTCTCTCTCTCTCTCTCAAAAATAAAATAAACATTAAAAAAAAAAGTGAAGCAACTAGACATCCAACACATTGCTGGTGGGAATGCAAGATGGGACAGCTGCTTTTAATTTTTTTTTAATGTTTCTGTTTATTTCTAGGAGAGAGAGAGAGACAGCGTGAGCAGGGGAGGGTCAGAGAGAGAGGGAGTCACAGACTCTGAAACAGGCTCCAGGCTCTGAGCTGGCAGTCAGCACAGAGCCCGACGTGGGGCCCAAACCCACGAACCGCGAGATCATGACCTAAGCGAAAGTCGGACGCTTAACCGACTAAGCCACCCAGGCGCCCCGGGACAGCTGCTTTTAAAGACAGTTCGACAGTTACTTTAAAAGTGAAACACACACCTACCATACAACCCAGCCAATCCTCCTCTCGGTATCTGCCCTACAGAAATGAAAGTGTATGTCTACCCAAGATGTAGACATGACTGTTTACAGGAAATTTATTCACAAAAGTCAAAAGCTTGGAACATCCCAAATGTCCATCAACTGGCACATGGAGAAACAAATGATGATATAGCCATATAGCAGAATTATGTTCTGCAACAGAAAGGAATAAAGTACTGATGCATACAACAACACGGGTGAATCTCAAAAGTATTATGGCTTTACTTTTTTCCTGAGAGAGAGACAGACAGATGGACTGTGAGTGAGGGATGGGCAGAGAGAGAGGGAGACACAGAATCCAAAGCAGGCTCCAGGCTCTGAGCTGTCAGCACAGAGCCTGATGCGGGGTTTGAACTGGCGAACTGCAAGATCATGACCTGAAGTTGGACGCTTAACTGACTGAGCCACCCAGGCGCCCCTCAAAAGTATTATGCCTTAAAACAAAGCCAGATACAAACTACGAGTCTATAGTATATGACATTCCATAAAAGGCAAAACTGGAGGAATGAAGAACATATCAGTAGTTCACTCCTATCAACAACACGCAGAGAGGGAAAGGGCGGGGAAAATGGACTGACTGAAAGGGACACAAAGACACACTTTTTTTTTTTTTTATTATTTCTTAGAGCACTTCCAGGTTCACAGGAAAATTAAGCACAAAGTACAGAGAGCTGTCAATTACTCCTATCCCCAAATATGCACAACTTCCCCCTTTACTCATATCCTGCGACAGAGTGGGGTGTTTGTTATACTCAGTGAACCTACACTGACACGTCGCTATCACCTAAGTCCATATTTTACGTGAGGGCCCTCTTGGTGTTGTACATTGTACGGGCTTGGACAGACATATAACGACCTGTATCTGCCATGAATAATTTCATTGCCTGAAAATCTGCTCTCCGTCTATTCTTCCTTCCCTTCCACTGATCTTTTTACTGCCTCCACGGTCGTGCCTCCACAGAATGTCATATAATTGGAATCCTATGATATTCTTCAGATTGGCTTCTTTTACTCAGTAATATGTGTTTAGATTCTTCCATGTCTTTTCATGGCTTGATGGTTCATTTCTTTTTAGTGCTGAAAATATTTCATTCCCTGGGTGTACCGTAGTTTATTTATTACCCATTTACCGACTGTAGGATATCTTGGTGGCTTCCAAGTTTGGGCTATAAAGCTTCTATACACATCTGCATATGGGTTTTCCATGGACTTAAGTTTTTAACTAATTTAGATAAATACCACGGATTGTGCTTCATGGATCAAACAGTAAGAGTATATTTACGTGTGGAAGGATGTTCCCAAATGTGCTCTTCAAGTGGCTGTCCCATTTTGTATTCCCACCAGCAATGAACGAGAGTTGCTGCTGTTCCACATCTCCTCCGGGATTTGGTGTAGTCAGCGTCCCGGATTTTGGCCATTCTAACAGGTGCATAGTAGCATCTCACTGTTGTTTTAATTTTCGGTTCCCTAATGGCAAAGGATACTGAGCACACTTTCGTGTGCTTATCTGCCATATGTAAATCTTCTTTGATGTGGTGTCTGTTTAGGTCTTAAAACCATTTTTTAAAGGTTTCTTTTTAAAAAATGTTTACTTATTTATTTTGAGAGGGAGCGCACACTACCCGGGGAGAGGAGCAGAGAAAGAGTGACAGAGAATCCCAAGCAGGCTCCATGCTCAACACAGAGTCTGATGTGGGGCTCGATCCCACAACACTGGGATCATGACCTGAGCCGAAATCAAGAGTCAGACGCCTAACTACTGAGCCACCCAGGTGCCCCAAGACCATTTTTTTAAATGTTTATTTATTTCTGAGAGAGACGGAGACAGAGTGTAAAAAGGGGAAGGACAGAGAGAGAGAGAGAGAGAGAGAGAGAGAGAGACAGAATCAAAGCAGGCTCCAGGCTCTGAGCTGTCAGCACAGACTCTGATGTGTAGGGCTTGAACCCATGAACCGCGAGATCACGACCTGAGCTGAAGTCAGACACTTAACCGACGGAACCACCCAGGTGCTCCTTTATAGTAAGTCTTAAAAATGGTTAACATCAGTCTTCTAACTTCACTCTTTTCCTTAAATGTTGTGTTGGCTCTTCCAGGCCTTTTGTAAACTTTAGAATCAGTTTGTTA